CCATTCGCTGCTAATAGTACCGATGTTCGGCGAGGTCGCGTCGCCAGCACGAATTTAAATGTGCTTCGATGTGGAGCAGTTGGAATTTGGAAATACGAAGGAATTATTCGGTACTGGCAGAGAATGGCTTGACGTAACTTGTCTAACCAATAACCAATTAAATGTTTAATGGGAGAATGTATGTGAACATATAGTGCTGGTAGTAAATTGATGTACTTGTTTCTATAGCAGAGTTCGAAGCAGATGTATACTTTTGTTTTCAGTTATTAATCGAGTATCATGGTTAACCCTTTGCACTCCAGAAGTCACCGGAAGTACTCAGTATTTTTTGAGACAGACGATATTTTAGATTGAATTAAGAAATCTCACATCATCGAGGAAGAGAACTATCTTCAATATTTCGTACATTGATTTATACAAAGTTGAATATTAACACTAGGTTTAGATTTATTGTACTTCATTCTATTATTCCTAAAAGAATCGATGCTCGTTTATTTAGATGGAAACTGGAGATTTGACAGTAGGTAATTGGGGTACGTGTCAGTGTGATCGCGTAAACATTTACAAAATAATATTTCTAAAATCCAGTATGCGTCAATTTCTCACGTTCCGTAAACCTAGTGTTAAATATCAAAGTTTACAGTCCTGTGTGAAATCATTTGGCGACTTGGCGCCTCTGGAGTGCAAAGGGTGAAATAATATTTTTGTTACAAACAAGGCGCAAGAATTAAGAAGTGATAGAATAGAAATCACCAGATGACGATTGGCTATGGTTAAACAATAGTTTCAGAAGTTTCGCCGCAAGAGAAGTAATACCTTTTCGAGTCCGACGAACCTCCCCCTCAGGACTTCTAGGGTTAACCCTCAATTGGTAGGGGTGAACCGAGTTGTCCCGTGATTGGCTGCGATGCGACGTCCGCGGGACGTCCCGTCTAACCAAACACGCGACTGTCTTTTCCGTCGAGCCCAGCGCTAACTCGCCGCCGCTCGACAAACAACGGAACAATGAACGGATAGCCCGGCGAACAATAAATTCGACTTATTGTTCCCGGCGCGGTCCAGCTTTCTGTGTACCATGGGTCGTACTTGAGAAAGCCGCTGCACACTGTGGAAACGTTGATCACACGAGGTTTCGGGTAGACAGTGGATACACCATTAACCTTCGGACACCGGAGACGGCTGGTTTTTCACTCGATCCTCGAGGACGATGCTTCTGTTTTCATTCTCAATCGCACTAACGTGAAAAGTGGAAAATATTATTTTAACACGTCGACGCAGATTACGATAATTCTCCTATAACCTCAACTCGATAAATAAACTGAGAATTAAATGATGTGTTCACCGAGGTTTCTACTGGAAAGATTATTCAAAATCAGACATTTCTCTAAAATTGAAATCTTCATCGAAGCAACGAAACTTTAACCCTTTGAACTCTGTAGGCTCCAATGCACCAGTTATAATATTAAATATTTCAATGAATGTTAAAGGAACTACCCTGCAATTATTAACCCTTTGCACTCGAAAGTTTTTTACTGGAAATGGTTAATATTCTCTGATGAGATACAGACGTCCTTTGAAACTAATTAATGAGAAGACATATATAAAGAAGGAAAGTTATTTTATTTTAATATTCCATATATTGATGCATCGTGCAAAGCTTAATATTATGTATAAGACTTTATAATATATCATATTATAATTATTAATTTCATTATATTAAGCTATATAATATAATGATTATTATATAGCTTAATTCTTATATATGATATTAAGCTATATAATATAATGATTATTATATAATAACAAGGATTATTGTATAGCTTAATATTATATATAAGACTTTATAATTTTGCAAATCAAATCAAGTGACTGAGAGTCACCTCTCGAGTGCGAAGGGTTAAATTTTTCACACATCCAAATTTTGCGCTAAGAAAAATAAAAGATCGAAGAAACGTTGCATTCCTCAATTTCGCTAGTACTTTAAAAATTGCAGTTGCTGACAGATTGCAAAATCATCTGGAGCGCTAAGGGTTAATATATTTCCAAAGAAAAATAGTATTCCAGAGGTGCAGATGTTTCACAAACCGTGCGTCAACGTGTTGAACAATATTCCAAGATCACCGACAAAGGAATCTAACCATCTTGACCCGCCTCTGGTGTCCCCGGAAGGTCCGAACTCTAAGGGTTAACCGTTTCCTCTATTTCCTTTCGTCTGGGGCATTGTCTTAACCTGTGTGCTCCTGTCGGCCGCCCTGTCAATTGAGGGTTAACGTTAACAATAACCACGCTGCAGCCGGAAGTGCCGGCCGGCCGGCCGTTCGCGGGGCCCAGAATCGGGTTACGAAAGTGATCCTAGCTCCGGTCTCGGCTAAGAGGATCAAGAGAACGCGATTGTTTTCGAACGAGGATCAGGCGAAAGAGCGCTCGATTCGAACGGGCCGCGGATTCCGCTGATAAACCGTGGACGGTTTCGAAGTTGAAAAACTTGCCCGGGAATTTATACCGGACCGAGTGGGAGCAGGAAAGTGGAAGCTTGATCCTGTTCCGCTCGAGCGCTCTTGAACCGCGGACGTCATCGTGATTAATTGAATCGCGATCAGTGAATATACAGTTACGGTTACAGCAACCCTACCGTTCTCGATGCTCTCCCCCCCTTTCGAGTGGGGAATAATCCGCGAAACACGGAGCCTGGTACGATAATCCTGGAGATACTTTCGGCGGCTTCTCGTTACCTCCTCGTTGTCGCTGGTATACGGTTCTGGTATTCGAATTGATCTTTTCTAACGATTGAATTATCGGATCGATCGGGAAGTACTTATTCCTGAATTACTTTATATAGTTCTATTCAATTTTTACCTGATTATCTTATTCTGGTTTTATAAGGGATGCTTCTCGAGATACTATCGGAGAAATTGATTTAACCCTTTGCACTTGGTTTGATACAGTAAAGTTATAAAGTTTCATGTTTAAAATTTGTATAATACGTAATTATGTGAAATATTGAAGTAAATTACTTAACGATAGAATTATCGGATGGATCGGAAGTTATTTATTCCTGAATTTCAATTATATAATTGATTCTATTCAATTTTTACCTGATTTTTATCTCATTCTGGTTTTATAAGAGATGCTTCTCGGAGAAATTGATTTAACCCTTTGCACTCGAGACGTGACCCTCAGTCACCACTTGGTTTGATACAGTAAATTTATAAAGTTTCATGTTTAAACTTTGTATAACGCATAATTATGTGAAGTATCAAAGTAAATTACTTTGTCCCTTAATTTATCGACTAAACTATTTACATTAGTCGCAACATCGTCTATATTTTATCAAAGAGCGAATGTTTCTAGCAAAAAACTTGTGCAAAGGGTTAACTATAATCTTCATCGAACACAGTTGCGAAAGAAATAAGGCAAGGGGTTAACCCTTTGCACTCGAGAAGTGACCTTCAGTCACCGTTTGATTCGATATCACAAAATTACAATGTTTTATATTAAGTTTCATATAATCAGTATGTGAAATATTTCTATAAAATAGCTGTTTCTTAATTCACGTGTTTTCTCATTAATTCGTTTCAAATGTCATCTACGTCTCATAAGAATGTTTCTAGTGAAAAGTTTTCGAGTGCAAAGGGTTAAACTGAATTGTAAATAATAGAAAAATTGGAAAAGGTCAATTTGAGTCAATTGTTCTAGCATTGACAACTTGCAACGTCAAAGAGATAAATTTCTACAAATTCACGTATCTGATCTGAGGTTACTAAAATCAGTATTAAATGTAGAATACTAATTACAAAGACATGAGAGTCATCGAGCAATTCGTTAGAAGCACTCCCGCTCTGGGAATCTTAAGTATTTTTAATAATTGCCACCTAGTGGATACAGAAAGCTTCTCTCGTATCCTCCGCTAAAGATAATGAAAAACTAATAAACGAAGGTAATTTAATTAAGCGCCGCTAATAGGATTAAGGGAATACAAACTATGGCGAATAGTTAGCCTGGTTGAAGAGATAACTTTAATCTCCCGGAGATTTTCGACAGGATTCTTTTAAAATGTTAAAAGTGCAGTACAATCTCTCTTGGCGTTGCAAGTTTCATTCTCCGCGGTGTGTTTCGAGATCATAAAAGAAACCGGCCGGAGACGATAAAATCGAGCTGTCGCCGGCGACGGCTCTCGGTATCGGTCACCCGGAAACTCGACGCGTTCCCGGGAAGTACGAAATAAAAAAAGAACCGAGTCGCAGACGGAGGTGGACCACCTCCGAGTTGATTCGTGACCAGCGCCGCGTCGAAAGTTCCGTGTTTATCTTCGGAGGCACCCCGGGAAGTTTCCCCTGGCTCTTTCCCGTCGTGCCTCGGTCCACGTTCCGCTCGAACCCGGAGCTCTACGGAGGCGAGAAGCGGCCGATCGTTCGTGAAACAGAAACTCGAGCTGCGGTCAACCTTCGTCTCGCTCGAGGAAAATTCGAAGTCGTTCCCATTCGAAATTCAAACGAACTCGGAAGTTAAACAATGTACGTTTTCGTTTGAAATATTTCGAGTGTCTTTATCATTAAACTTCTGGTTAATAATGCAATCGCCGCTTTTGACACTTGCAGGTGCCGAAGACGATTGTTTTATTCTAGTTCGAATGATTAAAATTTGAATTACATCGAATGAAAATGTAGATTCTTGACTTCTGAGGCAAATTTCTTCGAATTCGGTTGATCGGATGAAGGAATTCTAAATTGGAGGATTAATTTGAAGATTAGTTTGAAAGTGAGAAATTGGTTAGTCGATTCTGTAAATGGAGCAGATTTGGGACTCGCGTCATACAGGAGCCAGGCAAACGAGATTTCGCGGTTGATTCTCCGCGAGGAAGAGGACTCCGTGGAATTCGCGGGAAAGAACGGGGGAAAACTGAAAAGGGAAAAGAGAAAAGACACGAAAGAGCAAGCTGTAGCAAGTAATCGCGGTATCATCGGGGACCTGAGTAATTGTTGGAGTCTTTCTGATTCTAGGGTGCTTACCATCAGCTCGGATCTGACCACCGTTCTTCAGGTGTTGAACGAGGTCGTACCTAATCTCGAGGAGGTGAGTGTTGCTACCAGAAGAGGATCACACGGGAAAAGAAATGACTCAATCGTGAGACTTTTCACATGTTTCTTACTTCGTTAGACTCTTTATATATTCGTTCATAACCTCTTTGGTTTGTTAATTCTTTTTTTTTCTTTTTTCAATTCTTTCACTTTGATTGCCACTTAGACACGACTGCCTGTGTTTCTTTTTCTCTTGATATCTTGATATAGTGAAGTAGCTAGCGGTAGAGCGTGGCGATCATGTTTGAGAGTCAATGCTATTGATGTCTTAATTTCACATTGTTTCCCACGTGGTCTTCGGGTGGAAAAATCTTTACTTGAACGTGAATGTGAATTACACTGTTACTGGTCGAAAGTAGAAACATCTAATCAATTAACTATTGATTAGAAACCTAAACCTCAATTAACTAGAGATAAGGAGATAACCTGTGGAAATTCGATGAAATTCAAGTGCCGGAAACCAGGCGAAATTGGCTTCGAAATTATCCTTTCCACTGTTAATCTTGTAAAGATTGAAAGCATACTACAGGTCAATCATAAACCATTCGAAGTATTTTAATCTGAGAATAGTACTTCCAAAGAAAATGGCGCAAGCAAAGTGTACGTTGACAAGCCAATAAAGCGTGTCCACCATTAGAGACACAACAGTCCCATACTTTCGACCATCAGTAGAAAATTGACTCCCACTGAACCGTCCGACGAAATGACTCCAAGTATCTCGCCACTGTAGGTAACGATCGAGTAGAATCTTCGATTCTCCGAGTGTTTCGCAAAGCTCTGTCGAGACGAATCGTCTGACGTGTCCCCCGGTGCATGCTCCTTTGCGAAACACTCGACCGGTCGAATTGCCTGCGACACGAAGGATACAAGAATAGCGGTAGAGGCATCGATGAAAACAGCCTTAAGCCGGCCATGCGACGACGCGCTAACGGTTCGAAAATAATTTCCAGAATGGGTCCCGACATGGCAGCGATGAGATCGATGTGCGCATGCTGGTGCATCAGAGCCAGGCCGGATGCATCATCGGCAAAGGGGGGCTAAAGATCAAGGAGCTCCGAGAGGTGAGTCATTTTTCCTATACGCGTAACTGCTCGATACAGGTGCGACTGACGATTCGGTTGGCGATAAATACCGATTCTATCGGAACGTTATTGACATTTCGGTGCAACGAAGGTGTCGACGTTTCGTCAATATTTCGATACGTCAGTGAAGTTCGGGTATCGATGTTTCGATGCATATCGTTAACACTAGAACTACGATTTGATACGATTAATATGCAATTCGTATGAAAATTGTAACGATAGATTATTTTCGGTTTCTTCAGACATTCGTTGTAGTATTCAAGTCGAAGCTATTTTCGAGATCATTTCGAATATTCGATGCTTTTAAGATATCAATAATTGTGAAACTAAACAATCGAAATTTTGACTGCTACGTAGTTCTAGTGTTAGAAAACATTCGGAGAACATAGCATAGTTAGGGATTGATATAGTGAAATATTTGGAATGCATCAAATTTCCTTTAGCACTAGAACTACCGAGCATATTATTATTATTATTTAGATTTTCAGTTTCTTCAGACATTCATTATAGTACTGAAATGAAACTATTTTCAAAATCATGTCAAATATTCAATGCTTCGAAGATATCAATAATTGCTGAACAAAAAATCGGAACCAGTCATTCTGACTGTACGGTAGTTCTAGTGTTAAGATATCGCTGAAACGAATGGAAGCGATGAAAATAAAATGCATTGACACTTTGCACTCCGGAGCAGAGTCATTTAAAATTTGTTATTACAAACTGTAGAATTTTAAAATATATAATATTTATAATCGATAAAAGACAGTAAAATACATCTATAACTTTTCTTCTCGTAACTGTATCATTTACTTATATGTTAATTTGGTTTCTCTATTAAAATTACATCCAGTTGCTGTCAACGAGAAAAAGCTTCGAGTGCAAAGAGTTAATCACAAGAGCCGGCGATTGAAATGATTCAAAATTTATCTACCGTGCGGATTTGTTAACGACGTTTTAACGATATATCGTTAACTATGAATAAGATACCGATAATATATCGGTAATCGATAGCCGCGGCAGCACCGCCGGCGAGATCGTCACGTTCGACGCGTCGGCGTGCATCGGGTTGCCCCTTAAACTCCTCTCAACCGTATCGTTACGCGTATCCGTTGACGCAGCTAAAGAATTTTGATTGCGAGCCTCGATACGACGACGCTAATGCGCCGCGTCGCGCCAAATCACCGCGGGGACACTCCTAGAAACGTACAGCAGCTGCTCGCATTGCGTGCAACGGCTGCGCCCGCAAATCGCGGAAGTTTATGCAAATTTATGTTTTCATAGGTAAATTTCTGCGTGAATCGTCTCGGTAAATTTAGAACGAGACAGTGGCACGTTTGATGCTGTTGTCACTCGCCCGGTGATCTCTCTGTATCGCGCAAAGAGAACCTCTGAGAATCGTCTCACTCGTTCTTCATTCGCCGAACGAGCGAGGAGAATAAAATTCTCGGTTTTCTGTTTATTTTTGTCCTATGCAACGATCAAATTTCCCGAAAATTTCGCTTTTAATACCAACAGCTTGACTCGCTGTCGACTGTTCGCAGTGCGAACGCTGGGTTTACAGACGTCCGTTATTCGCTTTATTTTGTTGTTTCCAGGCAAGTATTCGTTCATATAGATGTTGAAAATTTGAAGTTATTTAAGATACTTTTTTAAATGAACTCGAAGAGAGATTACAAGTAAATTGAGAAACAAAGCTTTGCTTGTCTATATTGCACGCGTCGATGCATTATACACGGTTCAATATTAAATATCAAATTTTGTAATTTTACTGCGTCAAAGCAAGTGGTGACCGAGTCACCTCTCGACTGCAAAGGGTTAAAATATACATTCGTGTAATTGCACCAGTCAAAATCAGTGTAAACATTCATCAAATAAGCTCCATAAAATTCCAATAAACTATCATATGATGTTTAAAACTCAAACAATTTACCGAACAATCTCGATCGAAGTTCAAACAATTTACCAACCGATGCTTACGAAACTCATACAATTTACCAATTAACGTAAATTCAATGCGTCGAACCGACGCGTTCCGTAAATCTAGTTAAAGAACCTAACGCAACGTTCGTCCTGGTTATTTATTCATTACTGACTCACCAATCGCGGTGTTCTGTGATGAATTAACCATTTGCACTCGGAAATTTTTCACTGGAAATGTTTTAACATTTTCTGATGAGATAAAGACGATACTTTGTGAAACTAAGTCAAAGAGATATCACACGTACATTGAGGAACAAACCTATTTTATTTCAATATTTCTCAAATTGATGCATTACACAAAGTATAATATTAAATATCAAATTTTATAGTTTCACTGTATGAAATCAAGTGGTGACAGAGTCACCTCTCGAGTGCAAAGGGTTAATCCTCGAAGATTTTCAGAAATATTGAATGTTTCCTGTCGAAATACAAATAACATTCTTTAAAATCAACTTAAGAAGAAATTTCACATGAATCAAGCAATTGAACTTGGACGAAAGAACTCATTTTATTTCAATATTTCTCAAATTGATGCATTACACAGAGTATAATATTCAGTATCAAATTTTATAGTTTTACTATATGAAATCAAGTAATGACAGAGTCACCTCTCGAGTGCAAAGGGTTAATCCTTCAAGATTTTCAGGAATATTGAATGTTTCCTGTCGAAATACAAGTAACATTCTTTAAAATCAACTTAAGAAGAAATTTCACATGAATGAAGCAACTGAACTTGAACGAAAGAACTCATTTTATTTCAATATTTCTCAAATTGATGCATTACACGAAGTATAATATTAAATATCAAATTTCATAGTTTTACTGCACAAAATCAAGTGATGACAGAGAGAGTCACCTCTCGAGTGGAAAGGGTTAAAATCTGAGTTTCCTGGAAAACAGATTCACTAACGTCGCCGGCGACAGTCACGTTCGACGCGTGCCAAGGCCTCTAGAAGTCGAGGCTCATCCGTGGCAATTTATAGTTCCGCCGGGAGATCCCCGCGACTTCTTTTCGGTCGCATTTTATGCGCCGCGCAGCGTCGATTCCGCCTTAACTCGGGGAACTGGGTTAAACTCGAGATCGTCGGTATTAAATCGTCGCTCGCGGCGGACTGCCTCGACTGCTAATAAATCTGGAATTCAGCGTCCGCGAGGACGACGGGAAAATTGCTCCGTCGGTTCTCCGTCTTGGCGCTGCGAGGCCACGCCTTCCCGCGTTGAACTTTGAAACAGCGGCGGCGCCGCCGCCGTTTTGATCGCGAGCGAGAGAGATCTGTAATGGGATTAACTGATGCTAATGGAAAAATTAATTAGAATGTTCGGGACAGTTAGCTTTGATCGCGAGAAATGCGAGCAAGCGTAACTCGCCGACTTAAAATCGCACGGTTTCCCGTTAACGCGACGAGTGCCATGAGAATTTTGACCACTTCTTTGTAGTATCATTTATTTTAATCGTATGAATCTCTAATGGAGCACAAATGGTTTTAAAATTAATTATTAGCGACTTGGTGTTATATCTTACGTTGGTAAATATTTTTACTCTTCATTAATTGTTACAATTGTTCTAGCTTCGGTGATGTAAAGTTTTTAGTCGTATTCTAGAAATAATATTGCAGTGATTATAATAATAATCGTTTCTATGATCTCGGTATCATTAACGCTAGGTTTAAAGCGTATCATTTTGTTTCCAAGAACATAGACGTTCATTATTATCCTGGAAACTAGAGATTCGAAAACAGCATTAGAATGCATACCGGCGTAATCGGTCAATCATCGAATAATATCTATGCAATTTAATATCCATTAAACGAACGTGCTCCATAAATCTAGTGTTAATTGCGCGTTCACGAGCGCCCACAATTTTCCATCGTTACACACCGGTTATATCGACGGCGAAACGCGCTGGATTATCACAATTAATTTCTCCTCTCTCGACGCGTGTATCGGTCCTCGATAATTAACCAAAGGTTATCGACGACTCTCGTGAAACTTCCATAAACACGTTCCCAGCGATTTACAAACGAAATTCGTTTAAAAACCAATCACACCCGCGCAGTGTCGTCGTTTCCCTTCGATGAAATCAGGAAATAGGTTAAACTACGAGCGAACGAGCAGCCGGTTGAATGGGGCCGGCGAGCAAAGCAGTCGAAAATGACAATTAAGTCGCTTTTAATTAGCGATCTCTCGTCGGAATGGCGGGGTCGGGCGGTCGGGCAGTCGGGGCGGTGGATTTTACGTAACAACGGGGGCCCCGCCGGGTCACGACGGGCGGAATATGCAACGTGGCCAAGTGGCTCGTTACGTTTTCGCGTTCAGAAGAGGCGAAACCGAACGATGCAGACCTTTTGTCCCGGGACGGAGTCGCACCGAGGCCTCTCGAGCCTCGTGACTTTCCGAGCTTTGTCGGCGCCGCCCCAGTCCCCGCCTCGTCCCTTCATCCCTCGATCTTGACACACTCGCGAGCGCTTCTTAGGGATCACGACGACGGAAACGAAATTCCACACCTTAGAGTGGAAGGCTTAGACTATAGCATCCTCAGACCGAAAAACAATCCTTAACACTTAGACCGCCTAAAGAACTATAACTGCAGCCTCCTCCGTTACCTCCAATTGAACGAGTTCAATTGATTCGGTTAGAATCTGTATTTTGTAAAAACAAGAACCGTATTTAATGCCACTTCAAGACTTACGAAGTAACAGAAGGAAAGATAAATAAAACCTAATATTTAATCTATCTAAGATAGATAGGTTCAATCGAGAAATCATCGTCAAACGTGTTAACCATCGTTATATACCGAGGAATCGATCGACTTCGCAGTGATTCTCCAGAAAAGCTACCGTCCGTCATTCCCGAAATTTACTCTGTAGGCTCCAATATTGCACCAGTTATAATATTAAATATTTTAATGAATCTTAAACAAACCACCCTAAAACTATTAGATTTCCCACACATCCAAATTTTGTACTGACAAAGAAAATAAAAGATAGATTAGAAAACAA